CTCAGAGTCTTGGAGCATCCTTCAATGAGTTGGCCGGCATGCCTACTCCGCCTCATATGCATTATGTTGGTCCGTCTCTGATGAGACCCAGTCATTGTGACTACTCAGAGGCTCCCTCGTCTGTCGCTTCTCGTCAGATCCCACGACAGACATACTAGCAGCTTCACAGCAAAGACACCGGCTCAGCTCAGACCCAGACGCTTCCAGTGACACTTCCCGCCATGTAGGGTCGGTCGATTCAGAGCTCGTGGTCGATGATGATGGTGCCCGGTTCCCACTGCCCCACGTTCTTGGCCTTGGCCTACCGTCCGCTGCTGCAGCCTCGCCGTCAAACCCCTAGGTTTTGGTGTTTGACGCCAAAGGGAGAGGGTGTTCGAGTATGTAGTCTTAGGGGGAGCTACATTTAGGGGGAGCTAGTTATCTAGTATTAGCCTATTATATACATTTGGAGTTCTATTTGTGTGATACACTATTACTTATGCATTCGTGTGTTTACTTTCCTGCATACTATTATATATATGTAATAGTGCTATCTACGTGATTGTGATATTTGACATGTGTGATTTCTACTTTGCATTATCTATATGTCATATCACTTGTGTTATGCTCATTTGCTTTTGCTTCCGCGTTTATACTTCGAAGCAAATGAGCTTTGTTACTTGTACTCATGCTTAATTCATATCCTTTGAGTACATTGTGTTGGCTTGGGTCATATAAGCATGCCTAACTCTTTTGTTCTTAACGACAAAAGCTTATATGAACCAAGCCCGTCAAAAACCTCATTCCATAACATACACGAGGTGGTATTGTCATCAATCACCAAAAAGGGGGAGATTGAAAGCATCTAGGCCCCTAAGTGGATTTTGGTGATTAATGTCAATACAAGATTACTATGACTAACGTGTGTTTTGCAGAGGCAATTAAGTTAGGTCATGGTAATGGAGATCGATTGGGCAATTGAGGTTGTCATGCCCCCACGATGGAAATCGTTTCGGTTTTCAAAGGATGGACGGCAAGGTTAAGGATAACTAGTTCTAAGTGTCAATTGAAGTTGAAGAGACACTTAGAGTAGTTTAGGACTTTGTTTTTTCCTTTGGCCATACTATGAAGGGGGGTATGAACGGGTAGCTTGATCTAGTTGAGTCTAGTGAGTTAGGTGTGGTGCACACTTGTTAAAACTAGCTCTAGGTAGCTCCTATGAATGCCTAAGATCCTTTGGAGCAAACTTCATTCTCATATGATCGAGAGTTGGAAGTGAATGGAGGGTCAAATCTTGACCGGGACCTGGCTCGGTCTGCACCGGACGCCAGGCTGCAGGTCTGGTCAGTTCATTTGATTGAGGAGAACATGTCCGAGTGACCGGGCTAGAATTTGGAAGGTCGTGTGACGGGAGCCCTGGGGGGCAGCGTCCGTCGACTCAAGAAGGGTCAGACTTGAGAAAGTGTGACCGAACGCGTCCGGTCAGTGGTGACCGGACCCTGAGTATCCAGCGTCCGGTCGATTACAGTAAGCATCCAAGAGCGACCGGACGCGTCCGGTCAGTGCTGACCGGACCCTGTCAGCGTCCGGTCATCACTTGGAAATTGTTGTGCGGGTTGAACTGACCGGAGCGCCCGGTCAATATGATCGGAGCGTCCGGTCATCCCGCAGAAGCTCATAACGGTTCGTTTTTCAGGCTGCCTTATAAATAGAAGCTCCACTCGAGTGTGGAGTCACTTTTGCTCATTCCAATAGCTGAGAAACACGTTTGTGAGTGCCAAGAAGAGCAAGGTCCTAGTGAGGTGTTTGTGATTTGAGAATCCAAGAGTGAAACCTCATTAGTGAATCAAGAGTAGACAAGTGTGCATCCATCTTCTCATTAGGCTTCGCATGGTCAAGTGAGAGTTCGTGCTTGTTACTCTTGGTGATCGCCATCACCTAGACGGCTTGGTGGTGATTGGGAGCTTGGTGATCACCCCATGGAGCTTGTGGGTGACCCAACTCAAGTTGTGAGCGGTTTTGGGTGATTCGGCCGCGACGGAGTGTCGAAGAATCAACCGAGAGAGCACTTGATCCTCATGCGGATCAAGGGGAGCTACACCCCTTGCTGGTGCTCCAACGAGGACTAGTGGAGAGTGGCGACTCCCGATACCTCGGCAAAACATCGCCGCGTTCCTCTCTCCATTTACTTTGAGCATTTACTTTAAGTATTTACTTTGAGCAATTCAATACTCGTCTTTACATTCATAGAATTGCTATGTTAGAGTAAGTTTGGAACATAGGTTGCAAGTCTTTTGTGCGTTGATTTGATAGAAACACTTTATCTAGGCACAAGGGGTTAATTGGGCTATCCGTAGGATTTGATCATTGCAAGAAAATTTAGAATTAGCCCAATTCACCCCCCCTCTTGGGCATCTTGATCCTTTCAGGACCGACGCCTCGGCTTGAGCGGGCTCACCATGAAGCAGCGCGTTGGTGGGGGGCGCGCGGCGGCGACGGCTGGCGCTACGCGGGGTCACCATCTCGGTGTTCTGGTTGGTGCCGTAGTTTGCGCTTGTGGGGCTCGCCGAGGCGTTCGGCGTCATCGGGGAGATCGACTTCTTCTACACAGAGCTGCCCACGAGCATGGCCAGCTTCAGCATGTCGCTGCTGTACACCAACGCTGCCATTGTGGCCTCCGCGCTGATGACGAAGGTAGAAGATAACTGTGGTAGGGTGGTTTTTGTAAAAAAATTATCGTAGTAAGCATCCTCTCAAAGGTATGGCCCTGCGGTACACGACTTAACAAGTAGGGGTCCAGATTTCGGTTTTGAGAGTTCGTGGACCTAATTGACACATGGCCACAAGTTCAAGGGCCACAAGTGTATTTAAGTCAATATACAAAGTATCTTCTTTGGCCTCAAATATATTGGATTTGGAATTGTCTAAGTCAAACGAACGTAAATTTCATTGAACTTACATAAAAGAATCATGATAGTATAAAAAAAAGCTTCTACAGTTATTTATTAGCGCTCTTTATAATTTACTCAAACTTAGAGCCCATTTGGGAGGGCTTGGCCGTGCCGCGGCTCCTTTGTTGGAGACGTAGCCCAAGAGAGAAAGTTATCAAGATACTTTTTTTTCAGGCTCCGGCTCCTCTCGCGAAAAGGGTTTTGGCTCCTCCCATCCGCGCGTCAAAAGGGTTTCTTGCGGGTGCTATGTTTGGTGCAGCTCCGCCGGTCTCTGGTACCGGAGCCCATGGAGAAGTCGGTGTAGGAGCCACATCAAACAAGTCCTTAGTATGGTCTATGACTTAGAACGAACTCGGACCTTTATATTCCAAGACAAAGCCGGTAATAGGTTGTTTTAATTCATCCTAAGTTATATTTCTCCAACTTTAGCTACTCTATATACGTAAAAAAAAACTTGGCAGCTACAACATGAGCCAAAAAGCTACAGTATTTTGCATGGGAAGTTAGTTAGTTTTGTTAGCAACCCGCCGGTCACCATTCATGATCGCCTCGCTTCTTTGAGCAGCAACCATTCTGAGTTTATTGATCTGTTTCCCCTCGTGCTCCATTCTCTTCTCTATGCTCCTCTACTTGACTCCACCGATCGGTTGTCTTCTCTTGATTTTAATGACATATGTAGGTTTCCATCTCTAAGAGTCCGCTTGGTTGGCTAGGTCACTATTCTAGCTAAGTGGATTCATTATAATCTAAGAAGCAAACCTATTTGGTAGCCTAACGATATGGATGCCAAAAGTACACCCTTAGCCAAGTTCGGTGGATACGCCGAAAGATGAGCTTCACCCGCCATTCTGGATTGGTGAAGTAACGCATGTCATGCAAGGAACCTTAATATCTGTGACAACCCATCATCTTTACTAAGTTATTGCATACGTGGATATAGGGTGATTGCATGTAGCCAACCAAACATTTTTTTATGTCGCTTCATTTACTCAACGTGTTTCTACTCATTAAAGACGTACGATGTAACCATGTGAGAGTAACCACACAAACACCCCATTTTCTACTAGCAGCTTGAAATTCTCCTTAGAAGAGTATTTTAGACTTGATGGCAGCACGTGAGGGCGAAGGAACACGAAGGAAGGAAAACGGAATTTAGAAGGGGAACAGAAAGCATGGCCTTTTCCCCAGGGACACCAACCGCTAGTGTTGGTTGGTGATCAGATCACGCACGGCACGACATCCCCATCCTCCCAGTGCCGGCCGTTTCCGCCCGCTACCAGAACCCAAGCAACCCCCACGCGGAAACAGGCGCCGCGCCACCCACCCACCCCACCCACCCACCCTTTCTTTCTCTCTCTTACCTAAGACTGTCTCCAATGGTTATCCGTCACTTATATCAAAATGGGTCTTCAATGGTCCGATATCAGACCTAACAGAGCACTTATATGCGAGACTTATTTTGGGTTATAGCAAAAGTATAACTCAAATATAAGTATCATCCTCTCCCAGAAGACTCATTTGCAGAAATAGTTCTTTCTTGGATTCTGTTGTTGAAGAAGATCAAAAATAGATACGAAATCCTTTAACTGTAGCGCTACCCAAATATAAAACAAGTCTTGTATTTTGAGTAATGCTGTTGAAGATAGCTAAGCCAGGGCCCAGGCCCAGGCCCAGCCTGTTGAAGATAGCTAAGCCAGGGCCCAGGCCCAGGCCCAGCCCGCCAGCCGCCTCCCCTGCTCTCTCTCTCTCTCTCTCTCTAAATAGCAGCGCCCGCCCGCGCGGGACACCACCCGCCCTCCCGCGCCTTTTCCCGCTAGCCAACGCACGGCACCGCACCACAAGGCAAGGCGCGCCCCACTCTCGGCTCTCGCTCTGCTCCTCCCCCCCTCTCTCTTTCAGCCTGCATCGTCTTCCCCTCCCCATTATTCCCGGGATTCCCCTGTTGCTGCGTGCGACTGCGCCCCGCCCCGCCCCCGCCCCCGCCCCACCTACCTACCGCCTCCGCCTCCGCTCCTCTCCTCTCCAGCGAGCCGCGACCGCGCGGCAGGGACGGGACCAGCCGACCAGGCCATGGGGAAGTACATGCGCAAGGGCAAGGTGTCCGGGGAGGTCGCCGTCATGGAGGTCCCCGGCGGCGCGCTGCTCGGCGTCCGCACCCGCTCCCGCACGCTCGCGCTGCAGCGCGCGCAGAGGCCGCTCGACAAGGGCGACGCGGAGGACGCCGCCGGGGAGTACCTCGAGCTCAGGAGCCGGAGGCTCGAGAAGCCGCACAAGGAGCCGCTGCCGCCGCCGCCCGCGGCCGCAACCAAGAGGGGCGCCGGGAGGAAGGCTGCCGCCGCCGCTGCGGCGCCGCACGCGCTGGCGGAGGACGACGTCGAGGTCTCCTTCGGCGAGAACGTGCTCGACTTCGACGCCATGGAAAGGTGAGATTTTTCGGCCTCCTCTGCTCCGTCCCTCGTTCAATTTGTCCCCTTCGTCCGCCGTGAGGGGATTGGTTAGGGTTCATGTTGTCCCTTCAGGGACTCAGGGTTCACCCTTTCTCCTTGATTCCACTCCTTTAACGCCGCCGCTGGGTATCCAGCGCTTCGAATTCGCAGTTGACTGGTGCCAACATTTGGCGCCGAATCCAATACTTTCCCCAGTATCCTAGCCAGTGTGTGAAATGCTTTGTTTGCGTTCTTGGGACAACGTTTCGGCCGACAAGCCCACTCTTCGGCTGAAATTGAACAACGCGGTAACTCGCTCCAAGACTTCTCCTCACTTGTTCCAAGGATTGGAACGACGCTAATACCGTGCCGTTGCTCGTTTCTTGCGTTCAAACCCAGTTCCTCATGCGTCCAAAAATCACTTGTACTTTTCCCCCCAAAAAATAAATGAGTACTGTATTTATCTAAGTTCTTGTCGAGTAGCTAGCTTAAATATTCCGAAGTCTTGTTCATTGCAGCTATGCCATTTGTTTCACTTACTAACCTGTTCTAGTGATTGACAAGTAATCCTTTAACCTAAGAGAATCCCCAGTCTAGACACCTAGACCACCTAACAACTGCACTTTTTTTTTGGCTCAAATGAACAGGTAATCCTCAGTAAGTTGCCTGTCAAGTCCTTGTATTATCGCACCCAATCCAATCAAGGCATGGTCGTGTATTCATCTCAATCCATATGTGTCTCCTCCAATTCATTTCAACACATGTGGATTGAAGTGTATACACTTACATCTAAACAAGCCCCTAGTGAATCTCCTCTAGTGGCCGTTGCCTAGTCGTTACCCATAGCCGCAGCCCTGAGGGGGAAAGTAGCCTCCTTTCCCCTTGTTCTCCATCTCCCCCTGCCCTAAACGAGCAGAGTAGCAGTGCTTCGTTCGCTTGCATTAGCCTTTGTACTCTAGTTGCCTCTCGGTTAGTGGTGGGGCTCGGCAGTGACCCTCCCAATATTTTTCCAATCAAAGGCCCTTTTTGCAAGAAATTTCAGTCGCCCACAGCCCCAAAGGCACCACATCTGTCGCACTCAAGATCCTGTTTCGTGCGTGGCTGCTCACTTGCCACTGCCTTGTGTCTGGAAGGCAACTAAAACCGCATGGCATTGGCAACCAACTCATCATTAGCCGTGTACCAGAGCAGTCAGCACCATTGAATGCCTCCTGCTTGTTTAGTTGCCTGTGATCACTGGACCCTGGATGGACTACCTTTCTTGAAATGCAAACGTGAAATGGAGGGAACTTTATTCCTATTCTTGTGCATCAGCCACTATAGTTTTGAGGGAACGTCAGCCACTGTAGTTCTTCGAAAAAATGTGTCTAGCGCAACCCCTTCATGGGAGGGATGAAAGACAGGACTTTTCTGGTATTTGCAGTGCAAAGTGGTGCTCTGGTTTGGCACCAGAATAGTTGTTTGAAAAATGTCTCAGGGTCATGAGATGTGTGACACTATTTTAGTAGCATATTCTTGTGCGCATGGGCCCATCTTTGGCTTATGCTCATGGAAAATCCTATTTAGCTCAGTTGTCTCTGTTTAGGCCCACTTGTTGTTTGCCTGTATTAAGTGTGCCTGCCTCAGCATAAATCAAGTACCAGATTGTGGGGGCATATGCCCGGAAGAGACAAGTGCATAGTAGTACTGTATGAGAAGGTATCAATTATCGGCCATGTGTTGTCATATCATTCGCCAATCCGGCTTACAGCTTGCAAGTGCCACGTTTTGGGTTTTGAAGCCCTTCATTTGGGGATTAGAGAAGGAGACACGGTGCAGGAGCAAATTTTGTTTGCCCGTCAATACTTATTCATACAGTAGTGTTTTAGTACAAAATCGAACAGTAATTTGCAGGACTATGGTTTATTATGAATAGTGTCTGTGATACTTTGGCCTTCCTTGATGTCTGCTTCTGGGCTGACTCATTGGATTTAAATTTGAAGTTTAGGAGTGGAAAAAATTGTACAATGTAATGACACCTGTGCACTTGAGGCATTGTTTCTTAGTTCTTTTTTCCTCATATATGCTTCTTTTGGTTGCAGGAGTACCAGAGAGACAACACCATGCAGTTTGATTAGGAACCCGGAGATGATAAGCACCCCAGGATCCACAACTAAAAGTAAAACCAGCAACTCGATGACTTCCCGTCGCAGAATGGAAACCTCAGTCTGCCGTTTCATACCGAGTTCACTTGAGATGGAAGAGTTCTTCTCAGCAGCTGAAAAACAGGAGCAGCATAGCTTCAGGGAGAAGTAAGTCTCAGCTTCCTTGTCTTTATACCACTTATTATTTTTTGAAACAACTTTATACCACTTATTAAACATTCTGTTAATTCTTCCATGGGCTGACATTGAACTGCAACACTGTTCTGATCAGGTATAACTTCTGTCCTGTGAATGACTGTCCTCTTCCGGGTCGGTATGAATGGGCGAGGCTAGACTGCTAGATTCCCAGGACAAGAGCACCATTGATCTGATATGTCTACCACAATGACTAGCCCCGCGGCGGAGGCGCACTCAACTGAATCGCATTAGCTTTCATGTCTGTTGTAAAAATTAGAGTAGTTAGCTTGTAGCTGAATGATCTTGTGTAACGAACAGGCGCGGTTCTGAGTTACACCCTGATCCCAACCTCACTGTAACCGTTAACTGCTCAAGCTGTTACCGAACCATCTCATGTAGTGTAGGTCTAGCGTATTCATCTGTTCCTAGTTCTCGAATTAATTGAATGAAATTAGAGTTAGATTTGCATGGCAATCGCCTGGTGTTTTCAACTGTCATCTGTGCTTGAGAATCCTATGCCCTGGCCTGAGAATTTGGCGTGGCCTCATCATGCCCTTGAAAGGCCATGGCATGATGGAATCTGTGGGGCTTCACGGGACCTGCATTTGCTCTATCCGGTGATACTACTCCTTTTGAACAGCAAACTAGTTTCGGTTCCATTGGGAGCTCAGTCTACTCTCGTGGCGCGAGTCATGCGGTGTGTCGTTTTCTTTGGGAGTGGTCACTGGGATGATGACATGATGGTTTCACTTGGAGCGACCGGCGCATCAGCAGTGATGATTCGGTTTTGGAATGTTGCAGACTTGCAGGCAAATGCTGTTCCTTTTCAATTTTAACTGAGGTCTTAGCCTGTTCGCTTGAACTTATCAGCCGGCTTATCAGCTAGAATCTACAGTATTTTTCTTTCACAACAAAACAGCTTCAGTCGGCTTTAATAACAACCGAACAACAAAATAGTGCAATGAGAAATTTTTTTGCAAGCTTGCTCCTTTTGGAGACAGATGTCCCTTTTTCACTTCATCTTTGCCGCTTTCCTGTTTTCATTTATCAAGGATACTAGCTTCCAGCATTGCTGCCTGAAATCGCTGCTGGTTATGGGCAACCTGTTCTTAGTGGCTGTAAGCAGGCTTTGCTACAATACACACACTAAAACCCACTAGCTTCCCCGTACTGCTCTTGCAACCTTTTCCTGCAGTGGACTTGCAAATTGGTCAAAAGCTGCCGCAAGTTTCCAAACACGTTAATAATGTCAAAAGAATCCAAGGCGCAAGCAGCCGCATGCATTTCCTACGGTTTAAGCTGTAGTACAGCTCATCTGCATAAAACGCTCCCTCATTTCAGTGAGAAAGAAGTACCACTGACAGTAGATTACCAACTCGGTAAAAAGCTACTAGTCTAGTACTACAATTGAACGGAGGACACTGCTTTCCTGCAGGAATCTGTGGACAGTGGACTGCAGCACTTGGAGACATTTGAGCCGCTGTCATCTGAGCCAAGGGTTTTGGATGCAATGCAGTGCAACAATCCTGTGCCGCTGTCATCTGAGCCAAGGGTTTTGGATGCATCAGGCGGCACGATCCCTGTTTTGTGATGGTTATCCGGAACAGTGGCCTCTTCAAAACGGTGTGCGTGCTGAATCTGGCTCCAAGCTACTGTAGCATTGGCACACGCGCTGCAGGTTTGCAGTCGTGCAGGCAGATGATGAGACAGTTCACAGCTGGAGCTGCCCCCTATTTGGGCGCCGAGTTACCGAGGTGGGGCTAACGGCCCGTTCCTTTGTCTTATAAGTCGTATTTTTTTAGCGAACGAACAATATGTTTTTTTTATAATAAATCAGCCAATAGTTCTTTCAGCCATGGCTTATCAACCAAACGAGACAAATGATTACTGTGACGAAGCAGCACTAGCAGCAGCCGCTCTTTCATGGGCCTCCACTCTCGTGTGCAGGCTAGCGTTGGTGAATGGAGCTGGAGCCTGGATGCAGTGATGCTCGCTCACTGCAGATTAGCATCTGATGGTTACTGTACATGAGGATTAGGCTTTGCTTCTGTTCTGAAAATCATCGCTGCGATTATGTTCCATTTCATGTCTAGCAACCTGCAACTAGGACTGTCGGATGATGGTCTCACCGCATACCCTTGTGCACAAAGCTGTTGGACTGGCACGGCACAAAGGTAGGCACTCCATGCTTTTCTCTGCCTTTGAGCCTCTGAGTTAGTATCTGTACTTGCACGAGTATTTTGCTTGGCGCGAAAAGTTTGAAAGTCACATTGCAATCAAAGTTGCTTGTACCAGTACCACAGAGGGCGCAGATTCAGCAGACTGGTCATCATAGAACCCGAGTTGGACCATTTGAAAGCTCCGGGTACTCTCTCTCTCTCTCTCTCTCTCTCTCTCGGCTAAAATGCGTCTAGCGTACTAGTATTTCGTATAGAAAATGCGGCCATGCAGCGTATCCTGTACAGGAAATGCGCTCACGGCTCATTCTAACGTCATGTCTGATATGGTTCTAAACAGCTCCGCCTTCTAAATGCAGTGCGTGGAGGAGCTCAACCTGGTGAAGCTAAGGGCGTGTTTGGCAGGACTTTTTGCGGCTCTGGCTCCTCCCGCACCTCGTGCTATAGTGACATTGTTCATAGGAGCCGTTTTTCTCTCTCTTGCCAAAATGAACTGGGAGCTAGGAGAAGCCACGAATTGTAGCGCGGAGCCGGAGCCCGAAGGAGGCTTGTGCCAAACACGCCCTAAATACTATTCCATTCGTTCCAAATTAGAAGTCATTTTAACTTTTTTGAAGAGTCAAAGCATCTCAAGTTTAACCAAAATTATACGAAGATCTATGACATCAAATTATACTGCTGTAAAGTACTGCCTGAAGTAATGCTGCAGAACAGGATAAATAACTTCACTGGTTCTAAGTTCATTTTGAGAGAGAAATGGCGCTACAAGAGAAATGGCGCTACAACGCATGGAGGAGTCAAAGCCGAATCGTCCCAAAGCTCTATCGAACAGAGCCATTCCAATGCTGCAATGCACACGGGTTGTGACTTAGTTTCAACCGATTACATCTTAGGCCTTGTTTGGATTATGGATATGAATATGCCTGTGCATCAGTTGTAGCTGGTGAATTTGGCAAGACTCGAGTTCTTTCATATGAGTTCAGAAACATCCGTTGGTTAAGTGCTTGGTCTCCTGCTTCCGTTGAGTCTTGCCAACCATAGTTCTCTAATCTTGCATGTAGCTAAATACTACTGCATATGTTAGCCTGTGTACTCTCTTCTCTAGAATTCTGCAGTTTACATTTTGCGTCATGAAAGAGAAATGAACATAGGTAGCTAAGCCTGAATTATGCATTTCTGAACTTGCTGAGTTACAGTCCGATAATCTAAGCTGTTGCCGACTGGATTAAGAATAGAGATGTAGCCTGTACTTTGAATAGAGATGTAGTCTGAACTTGCTGAGTTACAGTCCGATCATCCTGTAGAATTACAAAACATAGTTCTATAGTCGAAATAGACATAGCCTGTACTTTGAACTCTGAATTATATCTTTGGTAGTTCTTGTACTCTGAATTATTTACTGCTCTGTGATCATGCCTCCTTGTAGATCTAGAACAAGTTGAAAGTACTTGTACGCTGAAAGTATTGTTGGCTGATTTGGTGTGAGAGAAAAATACTGTCGTTGGCTGAAAAAGTACGGCTTATAAGCCAAACAAACCTAAACGAACAGGGCGATGATCACGTACCACAGAAGCTATGAGCTTAATGTTGGTGGTGTTGATGTGTAGGAAAGTCAAGACTTTGCGTTGTTCGGATTTGCACTGAATTAATTTTGAGAATAGTGTGAACATGTCACCATGCAGTTCTAGTATGAACATGCGTGAATCTTTTTGAAGCTTCCTCGTGTAGTCGTATTATGTTTTATTTGATTGATTTTTGAAAATTTTGTTCTATTACATTATATATAAATATATTAATATCATTTATATTCACGGTTTCAAAAAAACATTGTAACCATGATCATCTAGTATATGTTTAATCTTTTTATTATCAATAAGCAATACAATGGTATACATGAATTATATTTACACTAGATCATGGCTACAGCAGGCATTAAAGAATAAATAGACAGTATGGACTGTCTGTTTAGCTGTCTGTATGTGTGGGTTGTACATGCCCTTAGATTTATTATGAGATATATTTTCATGATACTTTTATGTATATGATTTGATTAAACTTTTGACGCTTGAACCGAGAACGAATCTAGAATTGTTTTTTTTTTAACAGAGGCAGTAGCTCACTAGCAAAAGCATTCGAACATACGCGGCCGTAGCACACCGACGACACGAGCACGAGGTCAGGATCCTCTCTGTCTGTGACCTTTTCAACATTCAAGGCCTGAGATGCCGTGACAGGAAGAGGCACTGAGCTGAGCTCCATTATCACACACGAGTTTGAGATGAGCAGAGCAACAGTGTCCTGGCCTGCTTGTCTTCTTTGCAGGAAACGTTTACACCCATGTACCAAGTGTGTACGAGTAGTCCTTCACCCTCGTGCACGGGACGCGACACTGTCACTCACAATGCCGCATTACTCACCTTCCAAAAAAGCCTCCCAAAAACAAATAAACACCAGTATCTCCGGAGCCGTGGAACGGCATCTGTTTTATTTAGCCACTAGTATAAACCGCGCGCCATTGCGCGCGCGTAGGTGAGCAAAACGTAGTCGATACAGATGGTCAATATATGTTTGCTTTGTACTTCACAGAATAAGTTTTGAACATGAGAAGAATGTGCAGAGTAATAAGGTACATACATATATGTTGTTCAAGTGTGCAAGGAGTCGAGGATGACGCATATGCGTATGTCACATGTGCTGATAGTCTGTATGCTACGTTAGGTAGAACTGCATAGTTGCTGATGGCTTCATGGTGCTCTCTTAATACTTTGGTTCACGATCAGAGAGGTCGTTGTTGAATGTGGCCGTGCTTTGACAGTTGGATGATTCTGTTCATATATCATAGTATGTATGTCTTATGCATGTAGATATAATGGAAAAGTGCCGGATTTTTCTAACATGAATGTTTCGCTTGCGTGCACTCGGTGTGGTGGCTGCATCCTGATGCCTGTGAAATAGAGAACAGGTGATAAGACAACAACGCTTTTGGT